CAGGTCCCTTCCGACCCTAGAAACTATGAAACTATATCTTATAAGGCCCCTGTCACTTAGTTGCGAATGCATCTGTCCTCACAAACCCCTGCAAAGCAATGGTAGAAGCATAGAAATGATGCATGAAGAGGTTAGGTGACTTGACAAAATCGCACAGGAAATCTGTGGCGGGGCAAAGAAGTGAACCCAAGTCCCAGGCTAATGCCCTAACCAGCCCTTCTCTCTGCTGGATGCTGCACTGTAGGGAGAAAAAAAAGAATGAGATCACAGGGAGGGATAAAAGTACGAGAGACGAATGATTATGGGCTCCTATACACGTGCAAGGAGGCTGCTCCGACACGCTGTAATTACAGCACATTGGAGCAGACTGTTAATCAAGCCTGCTGGAGCATGATAATTACCATGCTCCAACAGACTCCGACATCATCGGAAAGGGCGTTCAATGAGCTTTAGTTCAAAGTGCCTCGTCACCATTTTTCAGCGTGGGTACGCCGATGCACGTGACGCTCTGGGCGCTTTTAATTAGCGCGGCTCTCGAAGCCACACTAATTAAAAGTACCCCTCCCCCCACGCCTCCTGGAGCACATCTATAAATGCCCTATGCATCTGCATAGCGCACAGCAAATGAGACTTAACTTGGTGGCGAGTTTTGGGAGCTATGGTAATATTTTAAAATGTATATTACCATATTTTCTCATCTACAGTATTCATGCTTTCCCAAAAAGTACCTACCAGAAACTGGGGTATAAGCAAGGAAATATGATAAGAACAGTTTCTGCTGCTTTAGCTTCTAGCAACTGAAGGCAACACCAAGTGCACGTGATTCACAAGGATCAGAACAATAAGCAAGTTCAGCTCCCTAGCTGCTGTTACTTAGTTATTTGCTACAAGGAAAGGGTTTTTTTTCGTCACGATTTTGCCTTTCAAAAACAAAGTGCTTATGGACATGTCGCATACAGGGAAATACAGTAACGCTATAAACCTATGAGCAATGCACAGCAGGTGAGACAGACAGCAAGTTGATGGAAAACACATGATATGGTGAGGTATGGGAAACAGACGGATATCAGAAACCACATACAATTCACAGCTTAGCTGGAAAGATAAATTTCTCAAGATCTCACCAATGAGTCCCAAACTTAAGATTTAGGAGAGTGTAAGGAAAACTAATCAATTCCTACTGTGTTTCTTGGATGCTGATCCTGCAAAGATTTAGGCACACACTTAACGATAAGCACATAAAGCCCCTGATTTCACACGTGTGCTTAAAGTTAAGCGCCTGCCTGAGTTTTTGCAGGTGGAAGGCTTTGCAGTCATTATCACAGCACATGGAAATGGCAATCCACAAGGGAGTGATGTACAAGGAGGAATTATTACAGAGCCCGGAGAGTCAGGCTTGGTGTTTCGACTGCTACATCGCCTCCCTTCTCCGCTTCGTGAAGTCGATTCACTCCGCCCACCCTGCAGAACTCCAGCACAAAGCCCACCAGGAACCTGTTACAATCTGAAATGCAGAGGGGTTAGTGCTGGATTCCCAGCCCTGGAAACTGGAACCACGCAAGGAGAACTCCTGTGACTGGGAGAGATTTTTAACTCAAAAAACTCAGGTTGGGGCTGACGGAAACACCGTGTGGATTTGTTTCAAATTCATCAAATCACTTTTGGTGAAAGAGAGCCTACAAAAAAAAAAAAAAAAACCAAGCAAACAAGAAGGAGAGACAGAGAGAAGCAGCAGCTAGGAAAAAATCAAAACATTTGGGTTGTTTTGATTCAAAATAACATCACTTTGACATTTACGGTGAATTTTCAAAGAAATAAAAAAACATTCAAGACCGAAATGGGTATTTCTTTGGCTTCCCAGCAATTACAACGGTTTTTTTTTTTTAAAGAGATTTTTGGGGAATTCAGGTGAACTGAAAAAAACCAGCTGCCTGCACAGGGCTTATAAATTATAACTACAACCTGGGCAGCCTGCAGGACAGGTTGACACTGCGTCACCAACGAGCCTCACTCCCCAGCTGGAAGAAACCCAGCTTTCAGTCCCTATGGCTCTCTCAGCAGTGGACATCTCTAAAAGAACAAAAGTGAAATGTGCACTTATATCCACAGTTGCCTTGCACTATGTAATCTGACCACCTATCACATTATTCATACACAAATCATTCATAAAAGCAATCTTCAACTCCCCAATGGGTGTTTCCAAAGAGGAGGGAGCTGGGCTGTCCTCAGTGGTGGCAGATGGCAGAACAAGGAGCAATGGGCTCAAGTTGCAGCAAGGGAAGTTTAGGTTGGATATTAGGATGAATTTTCTCACTAGGAGGGTAGTAAAACACTGGAACAGGCTCCCCAGAGAGGTGATGGGTTCTCCATCCTTGGAGATTTTTAAGACCCAGCTAGACAAAGCCTTGGCTGGGATGACCTAGTTGGGGGTGGTCCTGCTTTGAGCAGGGGTTGAATGAGATGATTTCCTGAGGTCCCTTCCAACCCTCATTTTTCTATGCTTCTATTTCCTGATTCTGTACCACAAACTGACCCCCTTTTACAGATAGGGAACTGAGGCAGACACAGGGCAAGGCACTGGTCCCAGGTCACAAAGACGCTATGGCAGAGGCAGGAATTGAATCCTGATTGACTTCTGCTCCCCTGCTCTTCCCCACTGGATGCCCACTTTCCTCCCAGAGTCAGGAAGGGAATCTCAGTCCTCAATCATTGCTCTAAGCCAGGAGTCCTGGCTCTGAACACACAGCCCCTGCTCTTACACACTTCTGCCCCAGAGCGAGGGATTGAGTCCAGGCAGTCTGGCTGCCCAATAAAACAACAACAACCTCAGCTGCGGGATTTTCCTTCCTCCGAGACCTTTATAGCTCAGTGTTTGTCACCTGGGTCCTGTGGGGATTTTAGGCCAAAAAAGTGCTTCCTGAAGCATTCAAAAACGCCAATCACATGTGCAGAGGGCAAGCAAACAAACAGTTGAATCCATGCGCAACAACTAAATGCCAGAACAGTTTTGCTAGATGGCTTTTCTACCAGCACAGCAGGCAGTACATGAAACTGTGGCTACCCGCACAGCCAGGCCAGGCAAGCCAGGAGGAAGGAGGAGAGACTATTAAAACCTGGATTATGTTTTCTAAGCAATACACCATTTCTCAGCAATCGAGTTGTCATTGTAGCCCAGCTCAGCCTCAGTTCCTGCACTTGGATGTTGGGGACATGGCCCCAGACTGAAACGACTGTCCCACGTCTGGCTGTGGGTGCCACCACCCTGGGCTCTGGGGGTCCACTTTGGGTTGGCTCTCATCTCTGTTGACCCAACTGCCTCCCTCAAGTCAAGGGGGTTTTTATTGACCAAGTAGCAGCTGGATTGGGCCCACAATCCCAGGTATCATGCCAGTCCCTTGGTCATTACACCTGGATTTCACTGGCCATCTGCTACAGGGCTTGCCACCCATCTCACTGAAGCCAAGGGCGCAATGCCCCATTGCCCACCATCCCTGGGCTAAAAGCAGGAGGTATCAGCCCACTTCTCAAGGCTCAGAGTCCTCCCATGGCCAACACTTCCTGCCGTGTTTCTGCTTCTTGAGCACTGAGCTGTCAGTCAGAGCAGTGGCCCCGAGGCAAAACCTAGGCATGTGGCTACCTTAAAGAGACTTCTGCTGACTGTAGAGATACCCAAGCTAGCTTGGGTACTGGTAGCAGTGTGGCCATGGCAGCATGGAGCTCACGGCTGGCTAATTTCCCTCTTGAACAGGGCATGCAGCACATCCCTAGCTCTCTGCCGGCACAGCTAGACTGGCACCAGCAAGTTAAGTGACTCCACTGCAGAAATACCTCAAGCCAGATTGCTGCCCACGGTGTCCATGCCAAGGCAGATACTCCCATCCCTCAGGACAACCTGAGCTCTTATTCACAGATGTTAGGGGCTGGAAGGCACCTTGCAGATCACTGGGCCCAGCCCCCCTACTCCAGGCAGGAAGACGACTGGGGTTAGGTGACCCCAGCAAGGTGACTGTCCAGTCTCCTCTTGAAAACCTCCAGGGTAGGCTCTTTTCATAGCTGCCCAAACCTCCATGGAGGAAGCAGCGTGGGGCATGTGCGGAGCTGGCTTGGTTCTGAGTAGCTGCAGGTGGCCCCGTGGCCCGTCTGTCTGGAAGGGGATGCTCTCTGGAGCTCCCCTTCCATGGCCCTGGTCCCTCAAGGTTTTTACCCCCCGCTGCTGAGGTGGGTCCGTGCAGGTGAGGGACATTACCTTGTGTTTCAAGATTTTCGCACAGTTCCGATTTGGCTTCTCCATTGGGGCGGAAACTTCCCTTCTGAGAGAACTTGTTGGACATGGTGGCTGCTGTCACCACCGCCTTGAGGCTGCGCTTGCGCTTTGGGACGTTCTGCTCAGGGTGGAAGAGGATGATGTACACCTTCGGCATGTAGAGCATGCCCAGGGAGACCGAGGCGCTCAGGCTCACAGAGATGGTCAGGGTCGTGGTCTGGATGTACATCTGGAAGACACAAGGAAACAAGCTCAGAGTTGCAATCCCCGGCTCATATGTGCACTCATCTGCCTTTGCCTGCTGCCTCTGGGCCCCGAAGAGGAACAGCTGGGAGTGAAGAGAAGAGAAGGGCGAGGGGGCATGTGGGACCCGTGAATGGAAATGAAAGGATGATGGATTGATAAGTGAGGGCTGGAAACATGGATGGATGAGCCGATGGGCGTGTGAAATATGCAGAAAGAGAAACTGGAGGGTAAATGAAAGAACAATGGAGTGGATACAAGGATTATAAATGTCTGTTTGCATGAATGGATACAGAAAATATGGGGTTTATAGATGGATGGTGAATAAAGGAAATAGACCAAGCAAAGAAGAATCCCTGCTGTCTGAAGTACCCTTGACCCTTACTCCATCCTGCTTTGGTGCATCTCCACACACCTCTACCGTGGCAGGTATTAGATCCAGTACAGGAAGCACCCCCAGCTCTGTCCCACCCCAACATGGTCCTGATGGGATCAGAACTGAGCTGGAACCAAAGTCGATACCTAGAAAGGAAAGGCCGTTACCAAATGAAACCCTCCGACTGCTGCAGAGCAGGCTGCCAGCCATTTTACCTTCTGCTGTGCATGTCTTAGTTATTTCATTTTCTGGATCTACTGCAAAGGGGCGGAGGGGTTAGCACTTGGGTGGCAATCTGAGATTCCATACAATTGGCCTCGGGCCCGCAGCGGGCTCTACCAGGGGGCGGGTAAGTATGATGCCATCGCCATAGGAATAACTATACCAGGATGGGACCAGCACCAAAGTCACTTCGCTGGTGGAGCCAGAATCATGTGGACATGGCTGCGGGGTGGGGGTCCTCCGGGTGCTGCTGCCACACAGATGGAGGTACTGGTGTCATTGCCCAGCAGGCTGGCGTGCCCAAGCCCGGATTTGCTGCACCAGGCGAGTGTGGAGGAGAAATCCCCGCTCCACGTGGCTGAGCTGCGAGTACGCAAGTGAACCAGCATGGGGGTGGATAATTGAGTTCAGCGAGCACCTGGCACTGAGTGGGAGATGGGAGCAAAATCAATGTGGGAAAGTTTGGGCAGGGAGATGCTCCACGTGCAGTGTAAAGTGCTGGAGGACACCTGGCCTCCTCCGTGGGGCCCATGTGGGAGCAAGCGGCCGATCCCTATGCACGGCATTGAGAAACCCACGCTCTAGCAACCGTTGCAGCAGGCAGGACTCCAGAGATCAGCCCCGTGCTGCTGAGAGGCTGTGTGACTGCTGGCAAGCCACTCCCCACTCCGCATCAGTGCTGCTCTCACCAGCAAACCCACCGAGATGTCAGCAGCACGCGCAGCATAGGGACAGCCTCAGAGCCTCTTGAGACAGAGTCCTCCTCTGCTCAGCCCTTCCCCTCCACTCTCTATGTACAGATGCCACCGGCATAAGGCGCTCAGCTATTGCCACAATGGCCGTGCCGCAGAGACGCAACCAGAGATGTGCGGAGCACACCCCACCCCTCTGCCCGACACGTGGGGACGCAGCCCCGTGTTCCCTTGACAGGTAATTCTCATTCCCCGGCTTGCTCCCCGGGCCGTTGGGATGTTAGTCACATATTACACACCGACGTAGCCTTTCTGCAGTCAAAACTAATTTCACGCTCACTGTCCAGGACTAACGGTGACAGATGTTTTGCAAAATGAAAGCCCATTAATCTGACTGTAAAATAATCCATTTTTCTACGGAAAGCACTTGGCAGGCACCTCCCGAGCTGGGAATATGTCAATCAGATGGCGACGCGCCGGCCCTCGCCCTATTGCAGCCAGGGGGAGGGGCCAGGCAGCCCTTCAGGACCCTTAATTAAGGGTCCCCCCCATGGTTCAGGTCCCCATCTGCCTTCCATATATCCCCCTCCCCACCCCCAACACTTAGTTGTCACCCCACCCCAGACCACAGATTCTGGGCTTGAAGCAGGCTCCAGGCTTTAGTTGGTCTTCCCCGGCTGGGCTCAGGCTCCCACTCTGTTGTGCACATTGCTAACCAGGATTTAGACCAGGCTCAGGGCAGCATCTGGCTCAGCTGCAGCAGGGGGCTGTTTTTTTGGTCAATCCTCCCATGGATTTTAGTACCGACACAAGGAGCAAGGGACAATGGCGCTTCAAGACCATGATCCCATTTGAAAAGAAGGGAAGGCTGGAGTGAGGGTGCTAATCTGGGACTCAGGCCTAGGGGATCTGGTGTTTGTTCTGCTGTAGACCATCCAGTATGATGCTGGGCACATCACTGTGACTCCCTGTGGCCATCATGGAGGTCCGCAAGTGAGAAGCCCTGGGTACACCTGTGCAGATAACCTCCCTCCTTGAGTTTTAACCAGTCACAGAGGCAATAAACTAGGAGCAGGGCAGAGATTGTCAGCTCTTTTCCAGCTGGGGCACATCCAGCCACCACTGGTTCACGCATTTCTGGTCACTGCTCTCACTCGCCCGTGACCAGATCTGCCGGGGGGAAGGCGGCTGGTGGCAAAGATGGAACAACCCAGGGACTTGGGCGCTGCGTAAGACTCAGACAGGCATTTGGGGCAAATGTTACAAAAGTGACCACTGATCAGAGCTATCTTGAAAGCCCAGCCCAAGGTACCTGGGGTCTATTTGCACTGCTTCCGAGCCTTCATGCCATCCTACCGAGTCAGATATTCTCCCCAGGCTTTTGTGATCCTAAAAATCCACCCTCAGGCCCATTCACCACACACCCGAGGTCCTCTCTCACCAGGCAACTGGTCCTACATCTCTTATCCCCAGGCGGGACACTGACCCCCTCTGCTTCAGTGCTCAACAGAGCCCACAGCCCCTTTTCCCAGCACGGTCCACACCTCCTATAATAGAGCAGGGGCTATTTCAGGCCAACACTGCTGACCTGCTGCAAGAGCCCTTCTTCCCAGCATAGCTTAGTGCTCTGCCCCACGGCGAGTGGAGAGCACTAAGCTTTGTCACACCTCTGTAAGGTCGAACACGTCAGCCCAATGCCAGGGGGGATCACGGAAGCACAGAGAAACCAAGGGCCTGACTTCAGAGGTGCTCAGTGTCTGGTGACTCCATTTATATCAAAAAGGCTTGCAGATGCCCAGCACCAGGAAAAATCAGGCCTAAGATGATAATGATCCCATTCTTGCAGCTCTTTGAATGAAGCTCAGCCTGAGAATCGGGAGTCATAGGCCTGGACCCAAAGCGAGGGAGGGCAGAACGCAGGAGTCCTGGTTCCCTGAGCTCTGCTCCAACCCTTTGATTTCTCTCTTCGTGGAAAAGAGCAGCTTGGCTGAGTGCATGCAGACTGAGTGTGGCAGCCTAAGGGAGACTGATCCCCCACTGAGCCACGCTACAGCTTGGCAGGGGTCAGTGGGAGGGACCCGCTGCTGGCACAAGGCTCCCAACATGCATCACTGAGGTCTGGACAGGCATGGCGTGGGGCAGACCATCAGCTCTCATTTCTTTTGGGAGCTCTCTCATCCATAACCAGCCCTGGGTGCCCAGTGGACGCATTTCAAAGTGGATTCACTCCACGTCCATCAGCAGATCAGCAGAGCTTCATTTCTGCTTCGCAGGTAGAGTCTCCCCCCACCCCGCATTGTGCTCCAGGAGCCAGAGCCCAGTAAACCTGCCACTCCACATTCAGGACAACACAGTTGCCTTTGCCAGACAGCTGCTGCTGTGACGGCAGTTGATTGCCTCGCACTCCTCACCAGCCCCAGCCCCTGCACAAGCACCAGGGTGGAGGCACAAACAGTTCCTGCCTGCACATCCACCCGCACCTGCGCTCTAGGCCCTGGGTGTTGGGTGAAGATGGGTAACACTGGAGGTTAGAATCAGGCAGGTCCTATACAAGCTCCCCCACAGCCCATTTCTGCTGATCCCCTGTGACCACAGTCCTGGGATGTCCTCCACACTGCTGTCAGTGAGCTCCTCAAGCCTGCTCCCAATGCTCATGGCCACTCCAGCCTTGAGCATCTGCACTACATACAGCTCTGCCAATGCACCTCCCCCTTGCTGCTCTAGTCCAGAGCAGAGCTGACTGCTGAGTTTCATCCTGGCTTTTGCAGACCATCTCCACTGGGGATTCAGCACAGACACATTCATTCCCTTCTGTTACCCAAAGCAGACCCAGCTTTCTGCTCCGAATTAACAGGGCAGACCCAGAAGCCATGAGGTCACCCCGCCCATGTAAGAAAAGGGAACGAGAAGTTTGGTCCCTCTGTCCAGACCCTAGCCCATTGAGACAGGGACCTCAGGGCTAGGTTGGAAGTTGTTGGACACCTGGAAAATGCTCCAGTTACCAATGAAACCTGTTGTTCGAACTCAGCAGCACGCAGCAGAGACCTGATCCAAAGCTCAGTGAGAGAAATGGCTCCCCTAATCTTTCAACAGGCTCTGGATCATGCTGAGTTAATGTAATAAAGGTCGGGCACAGAGGCTTACAAGGGCACCAAAGTTTAGGGGCAAAGAAAGGCCAACGCACAGCCTGGCAGGGGAGGTGAGCGGCATGCGCCGTGCATTCATAGATGCAACAGCTAAGCCGGGCGCTCAGAGGAGCAAGATATGCAAGTGATTTCCTGACACGGCAAGCAACGTCCACAGCCGCTGATGAATCCCTGTGAGCCCGGGTGATGCATGTGGTCCTCAGCTCCCCGTGCCACACACAAGCAGCCCCAACACAAACAAGGCGAGAAACGGGGTGGTACAAATTGCCAATCGTGTCGCATACAAAGGGGGACCCATGTCGAGATGATTGGAGCATTATCTCCACATGCCAGGCACACGTTGGGCTGCGAGTGGCAATTAATTCAACAGGCCAAGGGAGAGGAAAACAAAAAAGTGATTTGGCTTCACTAACGATAGGGGACATCGGGGATGATTCTGCTGCCAGTCAGAAGCTGGGAGGCTGGGCCATGCTGGTGGCTTTGAAGGGATGCTGGCAAGACAGATGCCATAAGCTTCCACCCCCAACTGCTGCAAATTGAGTATTCGCAC